GTGTGTGTGTGTGTGTGTACGCGTTTTTGTGACAAATGAGGACATAAATGTGTATAATGACAAAGGTATGACAGGTATTACAAGGAGAAGGTGACTTTTCAGGACATTACCCCATGTCCCCACTTTTCAAAACGCTTATAAATCACACAGAATGGAGTGTATTGAAAATCTGAAATAGCACAAAGTCTCCTGTGAGGGGTAGGTTTAGGGGTAGGGTTGGTGTAGGGCAAAAGCACATACAGTTTGTACAGAATAAAAACCATTACGCCTATGGGATGTCCCCACTTTTCACAAAAACAAACCTGTGTGTGTGTGTGTGTGTGTGTGTAGTAGCAGTAGAATAGATATCTAGCAAGTCATACATCTGCTCAACACAGGTGAATGGCATTTAAGGGAATAGTACTCATAAAAAACACAAATACAAACTTCCTCTCTTCCGTGGAACACAAAAGGTGTTTTCAATTATTCTCTTGACAATAAAATGAACCAATTTGTGCTACAAGGGCTTTCCTGTAGCTTAAAGTGTAGAGCATGACGCTAACAACGTCAAGGACATGTGCTCGATTCCCAAGGACTGATAAAATGTAAAATGTGTACCTATGAAGTTGCTTTGGATGAAAGCATCTTCCAAATGCGTAAATGTAAATGTATATTCCATGCCTCTAAACCAGCCGTTCTCAAAAATGGAGCCTCGGCAAACTTATATGGGGACCAAAGATTACTTACATGACTTAAAATAAGACAAAACAAGCATTAAAATGAGCTAAAACAACTAAGAATCAAGATATTTCTTATTTAAGTCCATCCCTCAACACCTTTTTTTACACCGTGTAGAATAACCTGAATATAGAAGATATTTTTAAAGTGTTATTTAAGAAAATAGTTTCCTTAATCCTTATTCACAAATGACGGGGAAATTATTTTTACTTTATTGGTTAAAAAGTGTGAGAACCTTGAAGAATATTGAGCTCTTAAAACTTTTCGTATCCTGAAATGTAATTTGAATGACATTAAATGACAGACCTTTCTCTGCTGACACATGCTTGACTTCTTTCATTCCCGCCCCTTTGTTGCAATCGGCTGCAAGTTACATTTAGACAGAACCGAGCCCCATCCTAATGGGGTTTTTTTACATTTTCTGATAGTCTGTAATCTGATGTTCATTCGTATTCATTGAGATGCTATTATAGTTTTTATGAGTATTTTAATTAGTTTCTGTTTTTAGAATTTCTATTTTCATTTTATTTTTAGTAATACAGTTTCAGTAATTTGTTGTATGTTTTTGTCATTTACCTTTTTTCGCATTTGTATATTGTTTTTGTTTATTTTTATTTCAGATGTAGTTATTTTAGTGTAAATAAATAAAAATGGCAAATTCTGCCTGGGCAACTACAGGCAAAATGTAAAAAGATTTGTACTCTTTTATATTTTATTTCAGTTAATATTTATTTTAATGCAAGTGAAGTTTTTTTTTTATGGTTTTAGATCTTCAGAAGAAAAGATCTGTTTCTACTGTCACAACTTGAAATATTAAATAGACTAAACGGCAAAACTATTTGTGCTACAAACCAGTGTTTTGATTATTACTGAAATAAATTTGAATGTTACAAAAACAAATACCAGTTTGCAATATCAAGCAGCATAACGGACTGTTTTTGTACCGTAAAAAAAAATCCTACATAACAATCAGTTGTAATTAATTCAAGACTACCACAAATCATTCTCACTATTTAAAAAAAAAACCTATATTGATCTATACATGAATCTATATTAGCCAGCTGGATAACATTATCGACTTGACATGTTTAAATGACCAGAAACAACAGTAGTTCAAAAACATCAAATATTTAGAGTTTGCATAAAGTCTGCATTGACTGGCTCCTACCCATGAGTCCTGCTTATGTGGGAAAGGCACATGGTGTGCATGTATGGCGTGCGGTGTATAACTGCCTGATTCCTCTCTGTTATTATGACACTAAATGCTGCTCTCCACCTGTGCGGATGTTGTTCAGAATGTGATGCAAATGTATATTTTCACTGGACTGTGTGCATATGAAAACTGTGCATGTCAACACAGTCAGTGAGATGGATGTGTATGGCATCAAATGAACGAGTTGTACCTCCACGCAGTCAAACGTGTCTGTGACCCTGGCCGTGTACTTGACTTTGAACAGGGTGCTCAGGTTCCCTGCGCTGTAGTACAGCTGGATCTGAAGACCTTTGTAGCCAAACGCCACTTCACTGTGCAAAAACAAAACACAAGGATTGAAGAAATGGGTCAAAATAGTGGTGCCAAGAAAAAACTGTAACATATATAAGTTGAGCCTAGTATGCAATGGTGTGTGATACATACTCATCTCCATACAGCTGATGACTGTACTCAGGGTGAAACGTTGTGCTTTCGTCATCTATATCCTCCGGGAACCGCACTACAGCAGACAAAATAATCATTTCAGTGACTAGGAACTGAATAGAAGGTGGGCACTACATATTAAACGGAGCCAAATTATTATCCATTCACAACCAAAGTGGCATCAGTAGAAAATGAAAGCTGTTTCAGATGAAAAACAAGTTCATATTTTAGGTACGATGACAAAGACACACATTTTTTTAAGATTTGGAATAACATCTATTGACGAATCAGTAATATGTAATAATAGATGATTAATCGCATCCAATATAAGTGTTTGCTTACATAACATACATATATGTGTGTGTACTGTGTATATTTATTATGCTTATATAAATA